CATTTTTTAGGAATCACTCTCCGATTACTTTCCCATATCGCCTTGGTAGTGAAGAAATCCCTCGTGCATCTAACAATATTATGGACCTTGGATTCAAATTCAGCCACAATCTTGACCCCAGTGCTCACATCCAACATATCTGCTGTAAAGCCTTCAAAATGCTTGGTGTTCTTATTAGATTAACCAGTGAGTTCAAGCTTGAAAAAACATTAAAACTTTTGTTTTGTGCACTGGTCCGCCCTATATTAGAGTATGGCAGTGTGGTATGGGACCCCAACACGGCAGACAACTGTCGCCAGTTAGAAAGGGTTCAAAATAAATTTCTATATTTTGCTGGGCGGGCGCTGGGTTTACCATGTCCACCCCATGATTATAGCCCCGTGGCAAATAACTTAGGCCTTTCCACACTGTCATCGAGGCGTATTATTGCGGGCTCTAGGTTTCTCGGGGGTTTGCTTGATGGGAAAATAGAATGTCCTGCGCTATTATGTTTGATCCCTTTTAGGGTTCCGCAAATCAATACCAGATCAAATGCGCCTTTCCGAGTCACGCATGCCCCCACGAACTACCTAATGAATGAACCCCTTCGCCGGTTACTTAGAAGTGCTAATGTGGATCCTAATTTTATATTATAATAATATTTGTATTTAGTTTTGTAATATCTTATTCGTATTTCGTTTTATTAGTTGTAAACATTTTTTATTTGTCTTTTGTTATTTGTTTTTATGTAATTTTGTTTGTTTTGTATCTTTCTCTCAAAATTAGTTAAAATTAAATATGTAAACATAGCTTGTAAAAAAAAGGATACATCCCGTAAACTAAATAAATAAATAAATAAATAAATAAATTAAGCATATTAATGAAAATATTTCAGTCGCTGACAGGCGTAAAATTCTGAACTCCAGACAAAAAAATTATGATTTTACCGAACACTTCAAACAAAACGATGCGTCAACACCAGACGTACACTTTGAATCTCAGGTTAACGAAACATGTTTCGCGGAAAAAGAAACAACATCTTCTCTAGCAGACTTTTCACAAAAGGTCGAATTCGATATTAACCCGTCTTTATCTCACGATAAAAAACAAAAACTTGAAACGTTGTTGAATAATTATAATGAAATTTTTTCAAAGACTAAATTCGACTTGGGCGAGGTAAAATTACCTGATATTGAATTAAAATTAAATCGCGATCAAATAATAAATTTACCGAATTTCAAGTTAAGCGTTAAAGAACGGGCCGAGGTAGAAAAACAAACTAACGAGTTATTAAAGGCCGGCATAATAGAACCGTCAAATAGTCCATATAGTAATCCGGTATTTTTAGTAGGTAAAAATCTCCCACAGGGTGACAAAAAAGGGGCCACCCCTAAGGAGTATCGCATGGTTTTAGATTATAGAAAATTAAATTCGATTTTATTAAAAGAAAGTTTTCCCATGCCGATAATTCAAAATATATATGACTGCTTAGCTGGTAACCACTATTTTTCATTATTAGACGCGTCCAGTGGTTTTTATCAATTCAAACTATCTAAAAATTCTCGACAATATACAGCCTTTTCTACTGATACGGGACATTTTCAATTCAAAAGACTTCCAATGGGACTTAATAATGCTCCAGCAATATATCAGGCCGCTATGTGCAAAATTATGGGAGGTCTTACTTATAAAAATAATATTTGCTACTTAGATGATTGCACAGTTTTTGGAAAATCTTTCGATCAATATTTATATTCGTTAGACATAACATTACAAAGATTTAGACAGTATAATCTAAAATTGAAGCCATCAAAATGTAAATTCGGATACGAGGAAATACAAGTACTCGGTAATATCATAAATTCGAAAGGCATTAGGCCAATCGATGAGGGCATTGAATCGGTAAAAACATTCCCTTCCCCTAACACTATTAAACAACTTCGTAGCTTTTTAGGACTTGCCAATTATTTCAGAAAATTTATTCCTAACTTTAGTAAACTGGCAAAACCTCTTACAGATCTGACTAAAGGTAAATTTAAAACAAAAAATGAAAAAATTAAATGGTTAACTGAACATGAAACAGCATTTAAAGAGCTAAAGTCTAAACTTACGACACCTCCACTCCTCGCGCATTTTAACGTAAATTTGGAAACTATACTAGTAACAGATGCTAGTAAATTAGGTCTAGGTGTTATACTTCAACAACGTGACGATAATAACGAAATTCATCCAATCTCTTACGCGTCTAAAAAGTTAACGCCCGCCGAGTCCAATTATTCCGCAATGGAACTCGAGGTTTTAGCTATTCATTTCGCGTTTACCCACTATAGGCAATATGTTCACGGTAGGAAGATTGAGGTTTGGACTGATCATAAAAACTTGACAAGTTTTATGAACATAAAAACTGAATCTAACGTTGTAAACAGGATACGAACGAAATTAATGGGCTATGATTTTGAAGTAAAATATAAAAAAGGTATTTTTAATAGGGCCGCGGATCATCTATCGCGTTATCCCAGTTCAAGTGAACTAATTAATAATTTAAATTCGAATATTAAAAATAATATTTTTAAAATAAATCTTGTTCAACCTATTAATATTGCTGTAGAACAAGCAAACGATGCGTACTTGCATAACATTATAGGTGCTATTAAAAACCCTATCTCATCAAATTCGTTTTATTTAAATAAGGCCGACAATTATGAAATAAAAGATAATGATATATTGTATTACAAAACGAAAATTAGACAAATCCCTGTATACGCACTTGCTTTACCTTCAAAATTTATTAAACAGGTAATAATTGATAATCATGATAGTTTATTAAGCGGGCATATCAGTTTTTCAAAAACACTAAACAAAATTAGGAGTAAATATTACTGGCCAAAAATGAGAAAAGATATAAAGTCATATGTTCTGTCATGTGAAAGGTGTCAAAAGAGGAAACCATATAAACAAAGTAAGCCACCGAAAGTAGGGAGATACGATTTAGACAAGTGTGAGATTATGAGTGAAATAATTATTGACTATGTTGGTCCCCTTCCAAAGTCGAGATCTTATAAGTATATTTTAGTAGCTACTGATCGTTTATCAAAATTTTGCGTAGCTCAACCATTTACAAATGCCAATGCGCGTAGTACCAACAAATTTCTTTTAGACTTATTCTTAAGATTTGGTCCAGCTAGGATAATTAGGTCAGATAATGGAACTCATTTTACGTCAAAGACAGTTTTAGACCTAATGGACGCTTTTGGGGTAGACAAAAAATTCGGAATTCCGTATAAGCCTACTTCACAAGGTCAGGTGGAGAGGCAAAATCAAACAATTATAGACATGATATCACATTACGTTCAGGATAAAAATAAGTGAGTAGATTATTTACCGTACGTTGTATACGCCTATAATACTTCAATACATTCGGTTACAAATTATACGCCATTTTATTTAGTTCACGGCTATAATCCTAAAAGCATGTTTGATATTGCACTAATTCCCCCTTCCGATGGGAACGTTATCGATGAAATTAATAAAATCNAGAACGTAATCGATGAAATTAATAAAATCAAACATATTAGAAAAACATTACCCCAATTATTAGAGAAACAATCTGAACAGACTAAACAAAAACTATTATCATCGAATAATTTTCAATCATTTAAAGCGGGAGACAAAGTCTTAGTTAAAGTTCCGGTAAAGAGTAATTAATTTTCAGATAGGTATGAAGGCCCTTATACGTAACAGTATCAAATACCCTATAGATATATCTTAAATTATTTTATTTTATATCCTTCTTGTATTTTGTAATTTTATTCAATATCTAAATGTTAAATCTTCTAGATAATAATTTGATGAAAAATAAGTACCTATATTAAAATATATTGTTAACAAAAATATGTGTATACCAGGTTACTAGCATAGTTGTATAGGTAAACTTGATAAAATTAATTCATCGGCGTAAAAGTTAAATTTAAGTAGTGATTTAAATTCTTCAATACTTGGCAAAATTTTTGAATTTCAATATGCTTTTAGGCACTTCTGGTGAATCGTCAACAGATTCCGATATTGCGGACTGTGATCTAGTAAAAATTGCCCATCGGAAAGAAAATCTCGTAGCCGCTAAAAGTTTATTACCTCGAAGTGGGCCATGTGACATCACACAAGTTGTTTCTGATAACCCTACTCAGCCGGTATTGAAAAAGAACAAAATTTGGGAAAGAATGGAAAAATTTTCATTCCGAGTGGTTTAAATTGTACCCATGGTTAGAATACGGTGTTTTGGAAAATTCGTATTATTGCTTTCCTTGTCGATATTTTTCAACTGATCCCTTTGGATCACCGTTTTCTGATTCAGGATTTAAAAATTCAAAAAAAGCTACGGAAAAAAATAGTGGTATAAAGCAGCATGACAAATCAATTTCACATAAATTATGTATGGCTAAATGGAAAGGATATGAAATGACTGAAAAAACTGGAAAATCTGTTTTAACTCATATTAATAGAGAAAATAAAACAGTTATAAAAGAAAATTGTTATTATGTTGCAACTGTTGCGGAAATTTTACTTTTTACAGCCTGTCAAAACATTGCTCAACGTGGAGATAATGAAAGTAGCGATAGCATAAATAAAGGTAATTTCTTAGAACTTTTAAATTTTTGTGCTAAAAGAGATACTAGGTTAAAAAAAAATCGATGAGTTACCTAAAAATGCAAAATATACATATCACAGTATACAAAATGAATTATTTAGTATTATGAGTCAAATGTTCATAGAATCAATTGCAAATGAGTTGCAAAAATCTAAGTACTTTTCAATTTTGGCTGATGAAACTAAAGATTTCAGTAAAACTGAACAATTATCAGTAATGGTACGTTATTTCTACAATAACACGGCAAATGAACGGTTTTTGAGGTATGTGCCATGTTCTGAACTAAATGCTGTTTGAATTTATTAAAATAACTTTATCTGCTTGTGGGATTAATATTCAAAATTGTATAGCTCAAACTTACGATGGTGCTTCCGTAATGAGTGGTACTCAAAATGGTGTGCAAGCAATTTTTCAAAAGGAAGTTCCAAAAGCATTATATACATATTGTTATAATTATCGCTTAAATTTAGTGATTGTGGATGTTTGTAAAAACGTACCAGAAATTGAAAAATTTATATCAATTCTTCAACAATTGTATAACTTCATAAGCAGATCTACAGTACATATGGCTTTCTTAAGTATTCAGAAAGAATTATTTCCTAAAAAAAATACAGTTGAACTTAAAAAGTTATGTGACACGAGATGGATTTGCCAGATATCTGCATGTATTGCTGTTAGAGAAACATTTTCTGTTATTCTAGTACTTTTAAATAAAATTAGCATTGAATCAATTAAAATGCGAATAAAGTATGGAAGCAAAATCAATTTTGATTCATATTAATTTTGAATTTATATTTTGTTAACACCTCTTTTGTGATACATTTAGTCAAATAAAAATTGTTTCTGATTATCTACAACTACCCGAATCAGATTTAGGTACAAATTCTATAATGGTTGAATCATTGATAGATTATCTTAAACAAAATCTTAAACAGTTGATAAATTATTTGATTTGCTTTTGGAAAAAGTTGTTTTGTGTGCTGAAATTAATAACATCCCGTTACCGGAAGAAAACACATATAGAAGAATTTTTTGTAAATTGCCTGCTAAATTTGTAACATATATTACAGAACTACCGATTTCTGAAAATAGGGAGATTATGAGTAAGAATGATGTAAGGACAATTATATTTTTTCCAGTAATTGATCGAATGATCAATGAATTACAAAGAAGATTTTCTGATAATAATCCAATATTATCTGGTATTAGTTCCTTAAATCCTCAAAATAAATCTTTTTTAGACTTGCAAGTATCATTACCTTTTGCCAAACACTATGAAGTGGATATTGAAAGCTTGGAATCTGAATTGAAGTTAATACCCAAACTCATAGATAGACACCAAAAAGAAAAAAAAACTAAAACTAATACTATACTTGATTTCATACAGTTGCTTGAAAATTACAAATTGGCCTTTTTTGAACTATATTTGTTATTTACTATAGCAATTATCATACCTCCTTCAAGTGCCGGTGTTGAGAGAACATTTTCTAGTCTCCGACAAATTAAAACTTTTATGAGAAGTAAAATGATCAACACAAGATTATCAGATTTAGCAGTTCTTTCAATAGAGAAAAATATTTCCAAAAACCTAGATTTGGAGTTCATTGTGGACAAATTTTCTGCTGCTCATCACAACCGCAGAATAATGCTTGTTTAAATAAATCTTACATTTTTCATTGATTGAATTTTCATTTTAAACATTATTAGTGTGTTAAAATTTTATATCATATGCTGTAGGTTATGCAAAGTTAATTAGTGTATTATATATAAATCATTACATTTTTTTTTACCGATAGATGTAGTGTTGTGTTCGCCCATTCAAAAAAATTGCTTGCCCTTTACCGCCCCCCATGGAAAATAATTCTGGCGCCGTCCCTGCCCATAGGTGACCCATTTCCGCTTCAATTATAGCGATTTATGAAGCTACCAGGAATGAGCAAAGGTATGCTAATTTTTCTTGTCAGTTAACTTTAAATTAGAAAGTTTTTTCTTCATACATTTATAAATTTATTTTTATTATTTTAGTTTTTTAAAATTTTTGACTGGTTTGAAGGCAAGTATTTCAAGATGTTTTAATAAATAACATAAAAATGTATGAAAATTTAATTTAATTTTTAACTTAAAAGTTCATTACAAAACAATAATATTTCTTATTAAATTTATGTAATGAATAAATGAGTAATGTTTACTTATATAAATTTAAACGGGGTTGATGTTTCACTATCAACTTCCATTGGTTCTGAAATTCCTTGTGATGAGGATTCAGCAGGATTCAATCCTAGACAAACAATACAAATATTATACTAAAATATTTCTGAAAATTCAAAAACGATTATTACCAATACATATGAAAAATGTACATATTCAAAATAATTATTTTGTAAAATTATTAGAGAGTTGTTATTTCCAAGCACTTTTTTCAATTTCATTATGAAATTATTATAACATAACATTTGTGACAAAAATATTTAAATGGAAATTATTAAATTTAAAGCTCATAATATGCTAACACATTTGCTACACTATATTAGTGGGAATTTGTTCCTTTAAAATTTTATTTTACATATAAATAAATTTAAAGTATTAGTAATAGTATTAGCATATAAATATGTAATGTTAAATTGATGAAAAAATATTTTACCTTGCGCAATAAAGTCGATTAGTAATGGCGGTTTTCTACGATTTTCTGACGCAACTTCTAATTCTTCATTTTTGCTCACTATTATTACAAATCAATGAATAGTCAAAATTATATTAGTTAAAATTACTTATCAGGTCAAAACAATTATATAATTGTTTTGGCTCCGATGTAAAACTGAGAAGGTATAAATTTTACTATGATGTGTATTTAGTACTTATACATTAGGCGTTTAGTGATCTTTTAAAACAATAAGTAAATGTTCGCAGATAAATTTTATATGTACACGTTTGATTCATTAGTATCGCGTAGATTTTAAACACGATTTTCTCATTACCACCTGCTCTTGAGGTTTTTAAAGTCTCTTTTGTAAAAGAGCTCTTTTCTCTTTACTTATTCAATTCTAAAAGTGTTATTATGCTGTACGAATAAATTATATTAATATACCAAAAACTAGAGAGAGTAAAGGTTAGTTGTTATTCAACTCTTGACGAATTCTATATTATCTTTAAACTTTGTTTCTTTTTATCTAGCAATTATCAATCTGTAGAACTTTGTCGTTTTTTAAATACATAATATGTAAATATTATGTAAAATATGAAAAAAATATGTTAAGTATTTTGTGATATAAAATAAGTTCTCTAGACACACATTATTTCAAAAATTGAAATACACACATTGCACGAAATAAGTTCTTTAAATTAAACTATTAATACTCACCAATTACATTTCTTGTATGAAATCATTTAAAATTTTTTTAGCTTCGATGCGAAGCTGAGAAGGTATTGGTTTTACTAAGATGTGTTTTTTTGTGTCTGTTACCACTTTTTCTCAGCTCTCACCGAACCGATTTCTTTCAACGATACGTCAAAAGATCATAAATCGTATCTAGTCCAAGACATTACCCTTCAAAATTGAAAAAATTTTCCTCGTTCCCCGTAAATGGGGGAAACCTCCAAAAAAATTACAAATTTAAAAATCGCTAATTTTCGATATTTTTTCAATTTGTTTTACTTAAAAGTGCCATAACTTTTTCAAAAATGAACATATCAATATAATTCTTTTTTATATAGATGCATAATATTATTACCTTTCATTTGGTATATTTTTTTCATAAATTTAACCCTTAACCTGTCCACAAGGAGGGATTTAAAATGACAACTTTTTCACAAAAAATTAATTTTTTTAACTTAAATTTTGAAAATGTTCCGGAAGGTCTGACACTTTTATATATATCTTAAATTAAAGCTGATGTAATATGCTTTATCATGAAAAAAAAAAATTTCGGACTTTATCTTATCTTCATGGTGAAAATGGCTACCGAATGCTATTTTTGTGTGAAAATTTTCGATTTTGTATTTTCCATTTTTAACTTTATTATGCTATAACTTTTTGAAAAATGTATGAATCATTACAATTTTTTTATGAGAAGTAGTATTTATATAGATCTTTCATTCGACATACTGTTTTTTTAAATCGGACCATTTCCCTAAATACAGGGGGGATTCAAAACATAAAAATGCATATAGAAAGTAGAACTTTTTCAACGTAACTTTTGAAAGTGTTCCGGAAGGTCTGACACTTTTATATATATCTTAAATTAAAGCTAATGTAATATACTTTATAATGGTAAAAAAAAATTTCGGACTTTATTTTATCTTCATGGTGAAAACAGACATTAAACTTAATAAAAAAAATACGATTTTTGTAAAAAAATTCTTTTTTATATTTTTAACTTTATAATGCTATAACTTCTCGAAAGATGTATGGATCAATATAATTCTTTTTTTTGTAGATGCATGATGTCTTTACCTATCATTTGGTATATTTTTTTTATAAATCTGACTTTTTACCTGCCTACAGGGGGGGATTCAAAATGACAACTTTTTCACAAAAAATTTACTTTTTCAACTTAAATTTTGAAAGTGTTCGGGAAAGTCTGACACTTTTATATATATATTAAATTAAAGCTCATGTAATCTACTTTATTATGTAAAAAAAAAATTTCGGACTTTATTTCGTCTTCACGGTGAAAATGGCTACCAAATGCTATTATTGTGTGAAAATTTTCAATTTTATTTTTTACATTTTTAACTTTATAATGCTATAACTTATTGAAAAGTGTATTGATCAATATAATTTTTTTATGGGAAATACTATTTTTTAATAATCCCTTTTTCATTCGACATACTTTATCTTAATCAGGATATTAATA